TCAGAGTTTTCTGACTCTCGCATGTTCAAACCCGTGTATGGGGAGGAAGGAGAGAGGCACGAGCTCAAGGTGCTGAATGTGTACTGAAAGTTACACAATGCTTTTAACTCATTGCAGTGGGAGCTGAAAGCACTCAGCACCTTAATCCATAATGGGTATGACTTGAAACCAATAGGAAATTGGTATTCATGTCCCTCTTTAAAATGCAAACAAGCTACAGACAGAATGAAGACAATTATTCAAGACAGGACCCACAGGGATGTCAGTGCTATACTCATAGGATTTGTCTTTAAACAACTTATTTTATTTCCTGAACACTATGTGATGGCATAATTAATAAGGTCAAACTGTTTATTACTTTTAATAGGCTCTACATAACTTTTGTGATGTGCGCTGGCAGTTGCAGTGATTAAACAATACCAGTGAAATTGCAAAAACAATCAAGGGCATTTCTCTGCTTCACTGGTTAATTTCTGGTTGTAAAACTGAACAGATGGAGCTTGTGGGCTTTATTCAATATCTTGGACTTCTTTTAATTAGATTCCTGTTCAAGCTTGTCTACTTTCAAGATCTCATGTTTAAAAACAACCTTGGGAATCCTGTTTTCTTGTCTGGTAGAGACTAATGTATAAAGGAAATGCTGTGTTTTAATCTCTTGAGAACTGTTCCTGCTGTTTTAGATTTAGAAATGGGCCACAGGTAAACAGCCTCATATTAATAGGATATTCTGATGATATAGCTGTGCAACAGCCAAACACCAAATTAGTGCCTCAGGCTCATTATACGCCTTAAAAGCATTTTTGTTATATTTACATCAAGAACATTCTGTATGCCATAAACTTTTCCTGTCACATTTTTATTAGCCTCAGGCTAAGTCAGCCAGTTTCACTTCCTGCATGTGATGGTTTATTTTAGGTTTCCATAGTCTTTTTGAAAAAAAAAAAAAAAAAAAAACAAGCAAGGCACCTAGAATCAAAGGTAAACAAACAAAAAAATGTTGGTAGCTGTTAAGGATTCAAACAAATTCAGAGGAACTTTACCTATATAAAATGATATTTATCTATGCCCCCAAACAAACAAACACAGGAAAAATGTGTGACATTGGACCCAGGACTACAGTTTTTCCAGTAGTCAAAACTCCCATCCACTTCAGGATCAGGTCCAATGTAGTCTTTTCTTAGTTTAAAAAAAAATCAGGCCAACCAAAAAGTAAAACAAAAGGAACATACCTGGTAGATAGTTTATGCAAGACATAATTTGGTGTCAGTCATCAAAAGGGTTAGATCCCAAGGCAACCACCTGCCCGGAGCAGGGCGCAGCACAGGTTGGACCTCTCTGGTCCAGCTCCCTCAGGACCAGAGTGGTTTCAAACCAGGGAGTTTTCTGGACTAGAGCGGTGCGGGAGGGATGGATGGGGGGAGAACATTGGCCGTTCTGTTGCCGGCCAACTTGTTCCACTCCTGGCCCCTGTGCTCTGCTCCCAGCTGCCAGCCCCAGCCCTCAGTCCTGGCTGATAGACCCCACTTCCAGCTGCTGGCTCCCGTCTACCAGGCTCTGGCCCCCATCCTGGCCACTGAGCTCCAACTCTAGCTGACAGACCTGGCCCTGGTACTCTGCTCCCAGCCACCAGCACAGCTCTCTGGTCCAGCAACATCCATGCAGTGACATTTCCAACCCAGAGCACCCATGGGGTCCCCGATAATGCCGGACCATAGATGTTGCCAGACTCAAGAGTTCTGGACTAGAGAGGCTCAGCCTGCAGATTCTTGTGCTACTCCTGGGATGAAGGCTGTGATTTAGAGAGGCCCCATGCCTACTACACCACTGCCATGATGACGTGGCCACAATCTGGCCCAAAGTGATTTGCCAGTGTGGCTCAGCAATCCTATTAGAGGATTTTAAAAGGAACATGGATTTGAAAGAGATTAGATTTTAAAAGGAAAATGGGAGCAGTTGCCTGTATCCACCTGCCAGTGTTTATGGTGTCACAATAGAATTTCACGTTTTATAAAAAGTTACTTCCTTTTGGGTTTTTTTTAGTTCTACTAATTTTGCTTGTGACAACAGTAGGAATATAAAGACCAGGGGCCTAGATCTCCTTGATCCTACACTTCATATAATCATTTATACCTGTGCAAAACAAATATAAAACTATCAAATCTGAATTTGCCTCTCACTGTAGCTTTTTACGCTAAGGGTGCATCTTCACTGCACCGTTAGTTCGAGATAACTAGTGTTATTTTGAAATGCGAGCATGTATTTTGAAATAATTCAAAATAACCAATGGCTTATTCCAAAATCTGTAAACCTCATTCTATGAGGAATAACACCCATTTTGAAATAGCTATTTCAGAATAAGGTGTGTGTAGAAGCTCCATTGCTGCTATTTTGAAATAGCCCTTCACCAGGACCATTCTAAGTTATTCCTCCCCCATGCTTCCTGGGGCTCTAAATCAAGATGGCATATCTACATTAGGAAATCCTGCCTCGGACTAATTTTGAGGCTTCCCTGCAGTGTAAAAGTGCTATTTCGAAATAAGCTATTTCGGAATAACTATTCCAGAATAGCTTATTTCCAACTAAGCACACAGTGTAGATGTACCCTAAGGCTAGGTCTAGACTAAGGGTTTTTTTCAAAAGGAGATATGCAAATTCAGTGGTAATTTGCATATCGTCTTC